GATCCGCAGTCTCACAGTCATTGCAGCATTATTCACACTAGCCAGGACATGGAAGCAACCTAAATGTCCACAAACAGTTGACTGAATCCAGAAAATGTGGTATATACATACAATGGAAAGAAAGAAAGAAATCTTGCCATTTGTGACACGATGGATGAAACTAGAGAACATTATGCCAACGGTATAAGCCAGACACAGAAGGACAAATATTATATACCGCTTATATGATAAATCTAAAATAGCTAAACTAATAAAGTAAAGAATGTAATAATGGTTGCCAGGGATAGGAAGGAGGAGAAAACAGGGAGGAGTTATAGGGTGCCAAGTTTTGGTTATACAAGATAAGCGAGTCCTAGAGAGATCTACTGTAGAGCATGTAGTAGAGTGCTTATAGTTAATAATGGTATATTGTATACTCTAAAATGTGCTAAGAGAGTAGATCTTATGTCACATGCTGGATGTTTGATCCCCTGGCTCTCTCAGGGTGAGACATATAATAATAATAACAATGATAAAATTAGATGATATAAAAAATATTGACTTTATAATAAAAGACATACAGTCAAATCTAATGCTTTCTTTTATCAGTCTCCTTTAGTACCCCAAAATGTTTCAGCAAGGGTGGAATAGGCATTGTTCTGAGGTTACTTAACTTATTTTCCTAGCTGATAGACCATAACACATATTAGCTTGGGATTGAATTAAAGTGAAAGAAAAAGAACAATCACAGAGTAAATATATAAGTGCAACAGTCATCTCTTCCAACAATATATCTACAGATAGAAAAAAATCCAATTAGCAGTGCTCTAAACTCTCACCCTGTCTCAAATTTACCCCTTTCCCTCCGAAAATTATTTAAGCAACAGAGAATCAACAGAAAATAGCCAGATACAGAATGGCTTCCAGACTACTTTATCCGAATCTTTTTTGTGAACCTACACAATTTGAAAACAATGCATCGATATTAGAAAAATATTTATTGTATTTGTGAAAATAAATGGACATGGCTGCAACTACCCATCTTGCCACAATCCTCTCTTCTCTTTCCTCCATAGCAGTTTGCATGATCTACATTCTCACATTCCTATCCCTGTTCCCAGAGCATATATTTTCACTGTCTTGGCATCTATTTTTGAGGATGGATATGGCTGGTGACAGATAGGATCTTGGTGAGCTATCCTGGTCCATGACATGACTTCACTGCTCTTAGGTTTTCCCTAGGCTTATTCTGAGAAAATTAAAAGTGTCTGTTCGGGGTTCAGAACATCAAAGAGACAGATAGCTGGCCCTGCCTGCCCAAGGCTCCCACAGTTGTAGTGATTCCTTTCTATTAATTTTTACCCACGAGAAATCTGTCTATTCCTGACTTTCCCTTCTTTTCAAAAACAGTTATATCAGAAATAGGTGCTAGATTATTTCCTCACAGTGAATAAGCATGATGTTTAATTACTACTAAAAAAAAAATAGCATATAAAAATAGTCACTAAGTAGTGAAAAACATTTTCAATTTAACAACATATCAAAGCAAAACATTCAAAATATGACCCCAAATAATATCAACATCTTCTGGAAAATACCCCTAAATAGTCTGACACTATTTTTTCTTCATTTTGCCAGTAGGACATAATTATAAAAATATTAAAGGAATATACACACACGTATATTAATAAATAGGTCCCCATAATTAGCTACTTGATCAGATACCACCTCTCGGGGTCTCCACACTAACATGAAAAGTCAAGATCATCACACATTCTTGACAAGGTGAGTTCCTTTTCCTCTTCATCGTCAGACTCATAGCCTCACCTTAACCAAATGGCTCCAATATTATTTACACTGAATCTCTTTTGATCTGCCTCTTTGTTTTGTGTCATTCATTATAAGATGCTCCAAGCCTGACAGTATTAACCTATATTTGAGTCTGCACATTCCATATTTTACCTCATATTTTACTCCTCATTAACTCCACAAAACCTGTCAACTGTGGTCTCTGGAATTAACACTCCATAAGAAGCACAATCTCTAAGCTTTATTTTTTTCTTTTATGTTCATATCACCTTGTTGTACTAACTGATATATCCCTCTCCACTTGAGAAACTTCCTGCTGGCTTCTCAAATGCTGGTGGTAAGCTATCCCACATTTCTCACTCCATTTATACTGGTAAATGATATATACGGTCTCTTTGCTCAGTCTTCTCCTCACTCATTCAACTTCTTGCAGTCCTCAAGTATATCAAACATGTTTCAACTACAGCACTTTGAACTTGTTACACCATCTACCTGAATAATTATTTCTTACATATCTATTGACTCAGTCCCTCTCTTTAAGTTCTTTGCTTAAATACCACTTATTTGGAGAAGCCTGCTTATACCACCCTGTACAAAGCAAAAGCATCTTTTATCTCAAGCCCTCCCTATGTCTCTGACTTTGCTCAATTTTTATCACAACTCATATCACTACTTAACATATTAATGTATTTATGTCTCATCTATTGTGTTTTTATTGTTGTATTCCTTGTCTCTAGAATAGTATCTAACATATAATAAGTGCTCAATAAATATTTGCTGAAAAGATTAATAAGCAATGAATAACACATTACAGTCAAATATATGTTCATACTTTAGATATAATCATAAAACAATCTGAAGGGTCTATCAATGTTCTCTTTTTAATAATATCACAAGATAAAATGGCTACAGTGGAAAGGGTGTATTTTTAACACTCTTCAGGTAACTTACAAGATTGTATGTGTCTTACAAATACAAGAAAGTTGGAGTTCTAGCAATCTTATACTTTACATGAATTAGAAGTTATTTCCTATCCACATTAAATCTTTCATGTCTTACTATATAATTGAATAAACATAGGCTTTTTTAAATTAGAGAATAGAAAATTACATTCAAAATGAATGGGTAAAGTGATGGTTTAAAAAGACATGATTACAAATGTATCAGACTCCAGTACAGTTCTAGGCTTTCATTAAAATTTTGCATCACAATTTTTACTTAATATTTGTTTAATTTATGCAAATACAATATAGGTGTTTGAAATTTGTTAGGATTACAATGCCTTCTATTATTGTATCAGTAAATATACATGTGAGAGATGCTTATAATCATGGTATTTTAAAAAGCCTGGACAATTTAAAGGACAATAGCATATCTTTTACACACATTATAGCAAACATAAATTAGTCATTCTTCTTGGAAATAATCATTAGTATATTGTCAACTCCCTTAATATACTTACTAAAATTACGGCTTTAACTTTGTATTTTATGCAAAATAAATTGCCTATAAGGTCAAAGAAAAAAACTGATTGGAAAGGGATAAGAGGAAATTTCTGGAGTAATCAGAATATTCTATAACTTGGTTTATGGTTGGTGGTTACTTAATCAACTGTTTACTAAAATTTGTTGTAGGTAAATTATACCTCAGTAAGAAAAGAAAACAAATGAGCACTTTCTCTGCTTTACCCCTGGTGATCTCAAGGTCGAAGAGTTATGCCTCCTGTTTACATGATGTATGACATATAATGGATACTTTAAAGTCATCTAATAAATAATACTCAAAGGAGTGATCTTTATGAGGTATCATTCATTACATGACATTTAAAACATTTTATCATTATTTCTGGAGTAATTTGAATATTTTCAAATACTTGACCCTCAAAATAGATTGTCTATAAGAAAAAAATAAAAATACTGATTTTATGAGGTTCTGAATTTATTACAATATTTAAGAAATGTATGTAAAATGCTCTTTTTATGAAAAGTGCCCTATAATTCTGGCAATAAATGAATAGGATCACAGATAAATTCATTATAGTCTACTTTTTCTTTTAAAATGTGTTTTCTATTATTAAGTGTATATCATAGTTTTTTTTTTTTTCCTTTTCAAGCAACAGCAGAAAGAAATGAAGGTAAACATAGTATAAGCACAGTGACTGCTCTGTTATTAACAGAGCTATAAATAAGAGTTTTAGCTAATATAGATCCATGAAATCGTAATGTAGTTTGTTTTCTTTTTATATCACAATGATGACAATAAATTCAGAACCAGATCATTATAGGGTGCTGCAAAATGGGAAGTATACCGCGGTATAGGTTAATTTAATCACCTGCAACATTTTCTGGCAATACTTACGTATTAGTATGAAAGAAAATGCAGAAGTATAGAGATTAGTGAGTATTTCATTTGTTACATATATGGATTTTAAAATCAGGCCAGACCGCTCTTTAAAATTTTATTAAGTAAATATATATTTGCTTATGTATAAGGAGGCTTGAGAGAGACAGATAATTCATTTGTACCAATTTCTAATTCAGTTTAACTTTATCTATTAAATGACTGAATAAATATAGAGGAAGGGGATTCAAGTTGTTTTGTTTACAGGAAAAAAAAAAACAAATACAACTTTTTAAATTTACCTGCTTGATAAGTTAATTATACAATTTGCTATTCCATTGTACTGAAATTTAGAATATGACTACATTTAAGTCTCTACAATCTACTATTCTTGGGCTACTTGCATTCATCTTATTATAGCTATCCTTTGATTTTGTCCAAGACAGCAAAGCCTTATAAAAAATGCATTTCTATGAAGAATAGCTATGGCCATAATCCTTTAAAATAATCAAATGTAAATAAAACACTATTTTATCCCTACAGATGATTTAAAGGATAGATATTGAGACTTTTAGCCATAAAAACATTCACTTTGCTTTGATATTTATGTATAGAAAAGTTATTTATTCATTAGACGTTTAATATACTGGAATACCAGGGGACCTTTGTTCGGTAACAAAACAGATTTCATGTTATACAGATTTTCTACTCAAACTCTTATCAGTTTATTCTTGTCTACTTTGCCAGCACATTGGGTATTGCCTGTCTTCATTGACACCATTACATGATTTTAACTTTTGATTTAGAAGCATCACCAGCTAATTTTCAGGCATAATGAGTTATTATTATTATTATTTTGGTTGTTGGTATAGGTCAACAAGAAAGTGTGACTCCCAGTCTGGCTCTCAAGCTGAATGTGGACACCCTCTCTCAAGTCTCCATGCCCAGCGGTGCCTCAAGGATACAATCTTGAGATAGAAATGTGGTGATGAGATCATCTGGACTAGGTACATGACCAAATCCAGTTAAGGCCCCTATATTTAAGATCTGACTGGTGAGTGCAGAGGTCTACACATCTTGCGGCCACCCAAGACAAGCCTCATAAGTAAGTTATCTGGTTTATTAAACCCTCACCTACCAATCTGGAGTGGTTCTCCTTTTTCTTGTCTCTCCCTGCTTTCCATGTTTGGGGGGCAAGTTTCAGATTACACCAAGACATTCCAATGAGGTTTCAAACTACAAAAAGTATTTTTTTATACACACACTATTTCATTTCCCTCCTAAAATCTTATATTTTTCTTTCAGATAAAAAAAAAATGTAGAAAAGTAATATTGGATGGGGTAGAAGAGTAAAGGGAATTCTTTTATATGATAACATATAGTACATCAATATCTTTGAAGGATTAAACACATAAAAAAGATAATTATAAAATAAATTAGTACATTTGTGTACGCCTGTATCATTTTCTGCTTTCATTACATTTAATAAATACAAAAAGATGAGAAGTATGCCTTCACATTACAAAACTTAAAGGCATTCGTAACCATTTAGTAATAATGGTGTCTTATTAAGTATATTTCTAGCTTTATTTTTCATTTTTTTCTTATCTTATTTTACACATATGTTCTCTTAGGAAAACATGAACAGTGAATGGCTCAATTTGACAGACAGGGATTATATTTTATCACTGAAATTCGAAAAAAGGACATTTTTGTTATTAATAGTACTTAAGTAAAAATGTTTGTCAACTATAAACTAAATAACGTATTTAAACCCTAGAATACCACTTGACACATAGCACTCACTGTGTAACTGCTATTTTTAAATATTATTTTAAACCGTGATTCATCAAGAGGTATCCTAACTAATAAATTATTAATTTTTAAAATGTTCTGTTTAAAAGTGGGTGAATATCAAAAATATTCATTTGAATATGGTTTTTATTTGATATATTGTAACTTTACATGTGATATAATATGTAGAATATCTACTCTGTAATCTGCAACTATTCTTCTGTATTTTTCATTTCAATATCCTCTTAATACCTTTGGATTTTACAATATTTGACTCTACCGATATAATTCTGGCTATAATTAATAACAGTTGCTTCACAAGGCACATCTCACTTTTGAAAGCGAAAGTAAGTTGGACTAAAAATTTAATACCTGAAAGAGTTAAATTGCCTTTCTATACTTGATTACTTCCTACTGGGGACATGACTGGGGCTCTGCACTATGGAAAACAATGCCAAATAAATACTAAATCAATCAATCAATTGATGAATTAAAAATGACAAGAAATGTTGGCTTTTATTCATTTACTTGGAAATTGGATTATAGAACATACTTCAGAGCCAAAGCAGAGTATGTCACAACAGACTTAGCAACAAATATTCTGAGAAGAGACTGTTGCAGTGACAACATCCAAATACGTTACCACCATATAAATGCAAGGAAAATCACATTATTAATTTTCCAAGTGCTACAAGTATCTGGCATAATAAAGTTAGTGAATATTTTCAATGTCAGACTAAAGACATTTGAGTATCAGAAACTTAGTTTTCTGCCCATTTTTCTGCTTCTGATAGCATATAGTGTGTTTTCAACTGCAAAATATATCAAACAATATTATATTAGAGATAAATGACACCAGTAAAGTTAAAGAAGTGTTACTTCGATCAGTGTTTCAGATTATTACCTCAATATCATGTTGCCAATCTCTAAAGGAACATATATAAAGTTTAACTCATAGAATACATAGATTTATAACTCATCGCATTTTATCTACCTTTAACTAAAGGAGAAGTGACTTTTCCCTTTAGAACTTTAGTTTCACCTAAAAGGAGAAAAAAGGTCTAGGAAAATATGGTGTCATCCCAATTAACTACTGAACCAGATCCACTAATTGTTTTTCAGCTTTGGAGAACATGAAGGTATCCATTGATACTTCTAATCTCTTCAAACTTGCAGTAGCAAGCAGAAAACATAGTTATAAAATTATATATCAAAAAGTAGAAAAATGGGGAGTGAGACATTAAGATAGTGATACCTTAATAAATCAAGTTCATATAGAAAAGGCTCTTTTGCACACAATCGGACTTATTTAAAAGAGAAAAAAAGCAGTGTTGAGTGTGTGTATACATTTACATACAGCTAAGGGAAGCAGACATGCTTTTTTTTTTTTTTTTTACAGCTGTGTGTAAAAATATCAGTGCACAGTTTCTGGCTCAAGCAAAGGAATACAAAGCCAACCAACCCTAGAAAAATGTCTACTATCTTGCATCTGCTTTCTACATACTTTTGTTGCTTTCAGTGATAATTTATTCTTCTTTATGAGGCTAACAGGTTCTGCTTTCCAAGACAATTCCAAGTCTTTAATGTGTTCATTGACTTTTTTGCTTTTATTTTCAAGCCTGTTTTTAGTATTTCAAGTAGTAGCAAGTAGGTTGTAATATCTGAGGTTTTAAATGGAGCTAAGAATCCCAGGAATTCACTTTATTAGAAATAGCCCTAACTTAGAAATTGGGCTAAATTTGTTTCTTTTCCATCACCTTGAAGACAGGTGCCGTTGGAGAGAACAATTTTTTTTCTTTTTTTACCAAATAACAATATACATCTCTGGAAGAGTAAGGTGGATGTTTGATCCCCTAACTCTCAAGGTGAGGAACCCTATGTGCCCAGGGTTACTCGAAGATCTGGATGCCTCTCCACCCACCACAAGTAAATCTGGATCTTTTTTTTTTCCCCACCTAAACACTTCCTCAAATTGTTCTCTTGCAAAGTATAGATTAAGCTTCCAAATTTCATGTCTCTGAAATAAGACACTAAGATGTATATTTCAAGTTTCGAAATATTTGAAAATAATTAGTTGAATGTTATCTGACTTTTAGAATGTCTTTTTATCATTTTACTTCTATATGTAATATATCTGATAAGGAGTTTTACACAATTATTTAATCTATTCAGTAAGTCAGTAAATGAAATTTAGTTTATTGTAAACTTTGAACTATTATAAACATCATAAACAGCTATTATATATTTATAAATATGTTTTTAGAAGTCAAATATTTTATAATACTCAGGTAAAATTTTAAATACACTGTAGATGTTTTTAAAGATATATGTCAGAAAATTAGAAGTCACACTGTACAAAAATGAAATGTCTCACATAAATTAAATCATGATAATAAAAAGTCTACATATCTTCTTGCATTGTGTAATATTGAAATCAGCATTCATCAGATTCAGTTACTCATCATAGCAAAAAAAAGTCTAAATAAAAAAATTCACAAGTTCATAAACCCATGTTATCTATTATAAAATAATAAATGGGAAAGCACACATGGCAAATTAATACTTCTTAAATTTCTAATTTCATTATGATATATTTAATAATGCCAAAGACAAAAAAATCAGAAATATTTGAGAGAGGGTAAAAATAAAAATATAGACTTTTTTTTTTTGGCAAGGCAATGCTTGGTTGACCTCGCAGATTGCAAGGACCTTGTCATCTTACAATTCCTTATTTTTTTATTTTTGACACCTACAGCACCTGGTTTTCCTAGGTGGTCTCTCATCCAAGTACTAACCAGACGTGACCCTGCTTAGCTTTTAAGGTCAGACGGGATCGGGCTTGTTCAGGGTAGCATGGCCATAGACAAATATAGACATTCTAAAATTTGATATTTTCACTCCATGTAATAAAATCAACAAAACATATTGAAAACTTTCAGAAAAAACGTTAACTACATAAATATTTAAAATTGTTTGGAAGCACTTAACTACTTGACTGGAGTGAATATAAATAGTGACAGGAAATACTCTTCAATAATTCAAAATAGAATAAGTGAATTAAAAACGATGCACATTAATAATGTCTGATTGAGACTTCAGTAATTGACACTGGCATTGCCAACTCATTTAAATGAAAATGGGCACTTCCTAAAAAACAGACACACTACTACTGAGCCTTATAATCAGAGTCGACAGTAAAAGCATTAGTGTTCATCTTGTCCAACACAGTCATTTTGCTGATGAAGAGACTAACACAGTTAAGTGCCTTCCAAAAATAAGAAGATCAAGCAATTGAAGAAAAAAAAAAATGAACTTGAACATATGTCTTCTGATTTTAAGGTCAATGCACTGTCTAATATTAATGAATAGAAAGTTTATTAAGCATCAGTTTAGACACTGTAGTAAATTTGGAGAAATAATTATGAAATGGATATCCATGTTCTTCCATGTCCTGTGCTTCATCTAGTTTTATCTCATTATGTAGAGAGACAAGGAAAAATTCAGGATATGATACAATATGTTACACCATTAATGGGAGAACAGCATGTGTTCAAACCAACTAACAGTGATACGTGGTCTGGTCTTAAAGGTAAGAATGTGGAATGTTTTAGAGAAGATTGGTGGTAGAAGGTTAGGTAAAGTGAAACCTGCAACTTTGGTGATAATAAGGCAGAGAAGGAGAACATATGTTCCTGTCATGTGCAAACATCTTGGATGTAAGAAATGATATAAAGTTTAAGAAATTTAAAAGGAATTCAGTTTAATAGCTCTTCTTTGCCTCCTTCTCTTTGTCTTTGTTTATCTTTCTTTGTCTGTCTGTGTTTATAAATCACAGATTAGGATGAAATATGAAGGAGAGAAGAGTTGATAAGAGGAAAAGTAATGGGCAGAAAAGGGTATCTTTTTTAGGGCCTCTGTCTAGCAGATGGTGAAATTCTAATTTTGTGTATTTGTGGTTTCTCAGGTATTGCTCTTCTGAAGATCTTTACATGCAGACCTCTGCCACAAAGGGCGCATTCCTGGTTTACTACTTATAATTACCTCTTAATGCTTGACTTCTGCTGGGTCCCCTCTCCTTGATTTGCCAATTAGTATTTGTCCCCCCCAAAAATAGTGGTACCTAATTCTGAGAATACCACGGTTTATAAGATGTAGACCAACTTTTCCATAGGTTTTTCTAGAAGACCTTATGACTTGAAAAATATGAGTGGGAACCTACTCCCAGCGATAGTGTTAGGGGAGGGATATGTAGCAAATAGATTCTCACTACTGCTTCTCTGCATTTTATGTTTAAATTGGATGATGAGAACTGGTTTTCTGAACTACTTTTTGACAATTAGGCAGTTCCTCAAAATATTACACATAAAGTTACAGTATAGCTCGGAAATTCTATTCTTAGTTATATACCCACAATAGGTATGAAAATATTCAAGAACATCTACATAAATATTCATAGAAGAAATTATAACAGTCAAAAGGTGAAAATAACACAAACGCCCATGAATGATGAATGGATAAACAAAATGTGGTATATCCATATAACGGTTATTTGACAATC